AGCCTTCTTTTGATCACTTAATTAATCCTAGATTAATTCTTCATCAATACTAATTAAATAATCTTATTAATATATTAGAACTTATAATATAATAACCAACTTTAAGTGTTATTTCTCTCATTATAGTTTATCCAAATGCATGATGCCATGCAACCCAAATAGACCATGTCGGGTCGGGTCAAGTCTTACCAATTATAGTTATGGACTTACACATTAATCCAACAGTCTCTAACTTGGATAAGTCTAAAACTATTATTGCGTATGACTTCAAGAAACGACTGGAAATCGTAGCTCTCAAAAGCTTCTGTCGAACTCTGACCTTGTAGATGAACTCTGACATTTGTCAATGACTTGTCCATTAGATAAGGGATCATATATTCCGCCATTCTAGATATCATATAGACTGAGACATGGATTATAATCATTCTCTCTGTCCATTTGTTGTTTCTCGAATTCCTATCTATGAAGACTGACTAATTGAACAAATCAAATCAGTCCAGGCCCGACAGAGCACTTACATTTGTCATTACCAAATCATCGAGGGGCCCACAGATATCGTTTTTATCCCGAAGGTAAAAGGAATGGATAAACTTCGACTCATATGGCTTGTTCTACTACTTGTTGCATCATATAAAAAAGCACATTTTATAACATCGGGTTACCGAATGCGTTTTCGTGCAATAAATGTACAACCAACTCATAGTAACAACTCGTATCTCTAGGTTTGAAGAATATAATATATTATCGTCTCATGATCACACGTGATAAAATCCATGAAGTGATTCCAATGAGCGTGGCTTGAATCCAATACTCAGAACTTATGAGCACTCATGAGTGTTGTATCCCTTTGTCCAACATCTTAGGCCTCTACAAGCCAACCCATGACAGTCTTAATTCATATCTACTTCCAACATATGACCGACTATGGATGGTTTGAATAACTTAGTCATCTAGAACAATGACCTAGTTATTATGGAAGTTAAAACATGCAAAGTGAAACACAATAATAGTTGAATCCAATATGGTATCAAAATCTATGAACATAAATAAAACACCTTTTATTTATCACCATATGATTACACATTATTCATTGTATACTGTTTCAGCTATCAACTTTATTCTTGAATTTAAAACAATAGTTGTCACATGCTCCAAGCATGTACAATATGTTTTCTAAACACTAGTCATGCCATACACCAAGTATGCATACTATGTTTGTCTATGATCTTTACTTTGTGAAATAGATCAATTGAGCATAACTCCAATGATCCTCTTTTCACAGTCTCAAATCCTTACTGCAAATGCAAGAATTTCATATTCATGCCATTTACTGAAATCTCTTAGATTCTAAACTTATATGGATTGATCCTCTTGTAATGATTATGAACAAAGTCAGAAAGACTTGACAACAACCATTACAGAGCATTCCAAAGGAGATCAGCTCCTTGGAAACATCCTTCTTGCATTAAGTTTCCTAATCTTACACAGATTGAATAATTTCTAACTTTGAAACATTTCCAGATTCCATTTTTACTATCACTTCTGAACAAGAGTTGCCTCCTTATAGATTATATCAATATGGTCCTTCCAGAATTATCACTATACTTCCAACTGTCCTTGAGCAACCATTCTTTGGTAAACCTTAGATTGTCCTCGACAATTGTTTAATCCTTTTAGTCATATCCAATTCTAGACCTTTTCTCTTCTCAATGCCCCAGGCATTTGGAAAATTTTAGAAAGGATGAATACAACACATGTAATCGATCCTATATCTGAAGCATATGGCACACGATTCATGATGTCTCACATAAAGACTAAACTAGTCTTTTGCTAAAACATTTCCATTTCTATTTGCCAAGTTCTCATAATTCAGATTATGAAAAGGGGTGTCATAATCATAATCAAATTTGAGAACGCAAATAATGGACCCATATACATAATTTCCTTAGGTTGAGCCATTCCAACATATCATTCATATATATATATATATATACTTGACTAACCTTAATTAAAATCTCACGATCGAATAGATTTGAGATGAAGTATAATTTCCTCTCCCTTAATTATAGCAAAACAACTCTTTCCCAATTGAAACCTTTTGTTTTCTATAATTAACATTGCTAACTTGCAACCTATATCATAATTATCATGCTCCTACTAACATGATGATTATTATTATAACACTTATGCTCCCACTAGCTTTGGCATGTACTCAGAAATCAGCTGGACTTCTAGAAATCAATACTTTATTGACTTTGTTACCAAAGTTTAGATTTCTGATACTAGATTACTTTGATAAAACTTTATCATAATCATACACCTTATCTTAAATAGCTCATAGGTGTGTCTAAACAATTTTTTATCAACTATGAAAAGGGATGTCATAATCATAGTCTTGATTGTTTAGACCTTTTCCACTTCTCACAAGTCCATGTTAGTGTGCCGATAAACCACACACGCTCCACTAACGACTTTGAGAATGCAAATATCACAATTGCTATCTAGCTAAAATCTACTTAGTGAAAGTGTTTCCTCAACATCATTTTCATGAATCGGAGAGAAACCTTATGACACTTCGATTTAATGGTGTATATGTTCTTATCCATGTGAATTGTCAAAACCTTAGTCACAAGACAAGAATAATGACAAATCCAAACTTATATGGACTGAACTCAATCTTAATTTCTTGCCACCTGGCAGCTCAAGGGCCTTCCATTGCTTCCAAGTTGTTGTGCAACCAACTGAGAACTCTAAGAACTCATATGTAAAGCCAACTTTAACTGGAATGGACACAGAATACGTCAACATGATAGGTTATGAACCTCAAGTCGTGTGCTAGTGAAGAACTTCAGGTTTTATTCTTGATTAGTTGTTGAGACTTTTAAGACCTTTAAGACTCCCACTGTCCTCTTGACATATAAGAGTTTCTTGTCAGATATTCAAGAGATAGTGTGGATTCTAATCAAGGCAAACACTTCACACAATTGGCCTTAGTTGGTCTTTGTTTTATCCAAAACATCACAACTTACCAATTTCAAATGTACAAGAGTAGAAAAATTTTACTCATACATTTGACATGTGTTTTAAACCTTCTCTAAGACATGTCACTCAAGTTACAATCTTGGATTATGACTCTAAGACTTGTATTGGAACGAAGTATGACTCATCTTCTTGATTTAACCATTTCAACAATTTAATATTCCTCTTCTTAGTCATAAGAATGCACTAAGATTTCCTTAGAGAACTATTTGTGCTATGGTTTCTTAATCAGTAAGATGAACACAAAAACTGATACTAAAGTACTCTCCCATCTTTTCAGATTTTAGAAACTTTTATCTTTCTGCCTAATTTGATTCTTCTTATTCGCTCTGGCATACATTGGATCTTTTCCAATGGTTCTGAACTTATACTTAAGCTTGTAAGTTTAACCATATTTACTGAGCTTTAGTAAATTATGACGAATAATCTTATCAATCTTTTCTGGTGGACTTGACCAGTGCACAATAATGTGTACTCGATCTCTTATTCCTTCACTTGACTCACGTATACATGTGAACAAGGAACTAGTCTTAATTTTCCAAAGATGAAAAATTCTCATTCATCATGCTATACAACTTGCACGATTCCAAGTTCCGGTCCAATTCAAACTTGGGTGATGAGGATCTTTCCTTATTTGGTAAATTTAGACATTACCACAAATGAGAGAATCAATTTCATATTTCCACTCTTGCTATTAATGGAATCATATAAGCAACAATTTTTTCACAAACGCCATTGTAAGAATAGGTAAAATAAATAAAATCAAAAATTTCCTTTTCTTTTAAAACTTTACGGAAAAACTTATCCTTACAATCCATATGAAAACTTGTTGTTATCTATTCCTAAGCAATATCTCATAACTCCTAAGAAGTAGCTCAAGAATCCGATCTTCAAACTATGCGATAGAAATCCATCTACACGATCAGATTCAACATATTCTTTCTTTAAGTTTCTTCAATTTTCTTTGATTCTTAAAACATCACCATGTGACCCAGTCACATCATGTATCAAGAATCTCATAATAGAAACTTAGTAGAGTTAGATAGTGGATTTTACCTGAAGTAGAGTCAACCTTATTGACTTTAACACCCTTAGGTAATATTGGCAGCTTGGCAACCAATGCCCATTCCTTTAGCAATTTAACATATGGATGCTTTGGTAATAGAACATGGGGCTATCACAGACTTAGCCTTTCTCTTTACCATTTGGTCAACCGAGTTGACTATGGCCGATCCCTTTCCATTAGGAACAGAGAGCTTTAATGGATATCTTGTGTCACTATTGTCAATGTCCATAAGTTTTCACTACAAGAAAAACGAGTATCAAAGACTGACATAATCAATCTCAAATGGTTAATAATCAGTCTTTGATGAGTATTGGAGACTGATTTAGCTAGTCGCTAGATAGTCCAGATAGCTAGTCCTAGATAGCGATTTTTTTAGGTATCTGAGACTAAAAATCAGCCCCTAATACATCAAAGTATCAAAGACAAAAAAAAATAAATAAATAAATAAAAAATAAAAAATAAAAAAAAAAAAAAAAAACAGTCTTTGACACTATCTCATTCAATCGCTAATGTTTTTTTTTAATCCATAATTTTAAGTTATATCAGTCCCAGATACTACCTTCTAAGGACTGAATATCAGTCCTTGACACTATACCATTTAGTCTCCAATATGTTTGATTCAAATCCCTCTTATATGTTATATCAATCCCTAATACTACCTTTCAAAGAATGAATATTAGTTTTTGATACTATTATGTTAGTCTCCAATGTCTAATATGTTATTTTAATGAATGAATACACTGTCATTCGCTCTAAAACCCACAATTGATTGTTGCTGCTAACCCGCCAATAAAATACCAATTTTTAAAATATGATTTGAGGTTTCATAAAAAAGCCAATTTATATGGTACTAAAGTGAAAAATCTAGAACAATATACACCAATTTCATATAATACAACTAACAAAATTAAACATAGATATGTAAAGCTTCAATACACATTCCACAACAATAAACATAAAACTAATATCAATAAGTTTCATATTCTACAAAACCAAATTAGACATAAATCTAAAAAGTTCCAATAATACAACATGCCATGTAGTTTACCGATTTGTGTATATTCTTTCACAAGTTCAAGCTCTTTCAAGTGTTACAACCCTTAATACTGAGAGAGTTTTGTCTTTTATTTCATCAAACGACAAGTCTAATAGGTTTTCCAAGCATATCTTTCTTCTCTTCTCAAGCATGCAACTCAATATATTCTTTATACACAAATCCTTTGTTGGAGCAAGTCCTCCACATCTAGTAGATTTCTTAACTCGCTTTCAATCTGCAGCAAAAGCCTAAAGTATTTTATCATTATCCCTTTAAAAAACAATGTAACATGAAAACATATGAGAATGGTTGTTAAAGAACTTAAACAAGCTCAAGCAAATTCAAATATATGTTGTAAAAATTCTGATGCAAAACAAGGATTATGATTTTGTAAACATTACTCCATCCAACAGAATCTTGCAAACTTCAGATACAATAGCATGAATGAAATTCCTTAGACATATGGATGTGCCAATTCTCATTCTTTCCGAAATGTAAACACAAAAACAAAGAACTGGAGTGATATCAAACAAGGCCTAAGCATTTCATTAAAATGACATTTCAAGTACTTGCATGGCACTCAAATATTTTTATCAATATTGATAAAATATCGAGTTAGAATTGGTCTACACCTATGAACAATAAAGTTCGATTCTTTAGACATGGTCTTTCCCACATAATTAGCAACACCAACAACTGATTTAAGCAACCAAATCCAATCCAAATTACATAAGATATTATTCTACACAATATAGTAAAGACAATAAAATTGAAAAATTAGAAATCAACATAAATATAGCAGATTGATGAAATTGATTATGTGATGTATAAAAATAGACAGTCAAATCGACGACGATATTCATTCATTCGAACCTTATATTAGGATTTCACCATCTAAGGCCGAAAATCAATCAAAGGGGATTCTTACCGTAACACGAATCTTTAGACTCCGATGAACTACAATGGTTTTAAAAAGAAATAGACCGTGAATATCGATCAAGATTCGAACAACCTCGCAACTTTTTCCCTCAACGGACGCCGCTCCAAATAAATTTCTTTCTTTGCCCTTGAATATTGTTTTGCTTGACGATTAAAAGGTATGGAGCGAAAAGCCTAAGGGCGCGTTTGGTAAGGGGTAATTAAGGCAAGAAAGGAATAAAGCATTCAAATGGAATGGCAAGACGTGTGTTTGGTTGGAGTAAGGAAAGGATATCTTCATTCAAAAGAGAATCCCATTCCCTCTGAACACGGTGTTTTCATTCAAGGGGGTACCCCTAATTTTTTTTTCATTCCATTTAAGCGCTATTACACATCTTCCCATTATGCCCCTGGAATATATCATGAACGCAGAAAAATCAGCTAGATATCAATCGATTTCCCTCCAAATCTGAAACAAATTAGCAACCAAAATCTCCAAAATCGCATAAAATCAGCCACGTACGGCAGCATATCGTCTCTATATGGGGCTTCATTCGACCATTCTTAGTACTGGTAATCCCCTTTTTAAGATTTCTTTCAAGTTGATCTGTAGTTATACTCATCAAGAAACGTCATTTGTGAAGGTTAGCATCTCTCTGCATTTATTTTTGTTTATCTAATTTCTGTTATATTCATTGCGTGTTCTTCTTTCTGTGTACCAACGATATCGTATAATCAGAGCTGTAAATTATTGTTTGTTTGCTGTGTAAATATCATAGTCACAGGGATCGCCAATATAGCCACGATCCACGTTCCGAACGCCCCGTTCCCAAACGCGGTACAATTTCGTACCAATCGCCAACAGAAACGCTCTTTAGTACGGCTTCCTTGCCATCCCTTCTATTCTCCGATTCGCTACTGGGAACGTGATTTTGGCGAATTTTATTGCACAGAAACGCGATTGGGATCGCCAATTTTGTGTCTGGAACGCCGATTCTGTGTTTTGGCGGGAAATAGTTTTCCTGTGAAAAACAAGTCCATCGATTCCAATGCTTTCAATTCCCACATCTGATTCCTCCAACATCCATCGATTCAATTTATTACATATAATGTTACTCAATTTCACCAACATCACAATCGATATCTGCTTTCCCCTGTATTCTTCCAATACGCTGTATTCATTCTTTTTTTTTTTTCTTATACTATTCAGTATTTCTTTTCTTCTTTGAAATGGTTTTTGGAAAGATTTTTACTCTTCCAGAAGACAATGAAACAGAAGCCCCTGGAAACTTTGTTGATCTTGGCAAGGATAATGATTTTTTTTAGCTTAATTTGTTTCTATTTTTCTAAGTGAAGTTGGAGTTCTATTTTTTATGTTTTAACATCAGGTTTAAGTTTATGACTAAAATTATGGAATTCTGTTTTGAATTGGTTTTTAATATAATCTGTTTATGTGTTTTTCTAAGTGCACCAGAATTCTGTTTTCAATTGGGTACACGTATCTGTATATGATAAGCCCCCATCCTTGTTCGTCTATCAAAGGAGGACCAAGAAAGGCAAAAAGAATCAGGAACCATGAAGTTGTACGTAGCTGGAATTGATTGGTGGAGTAGGGGTAGTTTTGTCTTTTCTTTAGGGTTCGTTACTGGAGTGTTCAAGCCTGAGTTGGGGGTTTCGTTGCTCTTTCCTCGGTCTAGTTTCTCCACCTTTCCCACCACTAAATCCAATTTCCTTATTACATCATTTTGCATCAGCTTGTTGTCTTCAATAGCCCTAGCTTGTTGTTAGTTCACAATCTTCTGTTGTTGCTGTTGTTGTTCATTTGAAATTCTTCCCAGGGTTAATAATATTTTGTCAATTCTTGTTGGGTTTTTGGTTAAAAATATAAATTAACTACCCATAATAATGAAAAGATAGCAATACCGATTGCAAAATAAGATAAGGAAAACTTTTTGAAATCATCATCCTACCTTGTTACTCAAAAAACTTCGTTCACAAAGTATTAATACAAAAATTAATTAACCTAAACTAAAAGATAAATGGATTACATAAATGTAATATATAAAGATTCAAAATTAAAATAGAGAAATTAGAAGGAGAAGAAACAAATAAAAAAATGGATTTTACCCCTTTGTGGTCCGTCACTTCCTCTCTTCTTCCGGCATGTGAATGTGATGCCCCTCTTTCTTTTCTTTTTCTATTTGACGTATATTCCCAGCCATACTCCAACACCAACAAATGGGCTTTTCACTTGCAAATTGGGTTGATTAAATAAAATGTGAATTTGTCCCCTTTTCTTCTCCTAATTTCTTTCCCTGTATTTTCCTTCCTGCCTCATGGAAAATCTAATGGGCCTGAATTTAATTTTAGTGTGGTATGCATTGAAATCCATAAATGGGCTATAAAATTGGGTTGTTCGACAATTTCCGGGTGTTCATGATGCTAGAAACCGGACCAAATATCATCCAAATCTACTTATTTTATATGCTTTCAATATTTCATTACTTTACAAAAACTTACTACTATTGCAGTTATGACTCGCCTTAAAATGAATAGACAAAAAAGAACAAAGAAACTTGTTGCATTTAGTACATTGTGGATTGAGATAATCAGTTTGGTAAATTGGTATTTTCAACTAGTGAGTATTATTATTGCCATACATATATTTATGTGTCCAACTAGACCTCGCTACAAGATGTTATGCCCAGAGAGAAAACAATATATGCAAAGATTAGTGTATGAAAGTGATGAGACTTGTACACAACAATTAAGAATGAATAGGGTAACGTTTGTTAAGCTTTGTCGTATGGTTGAGATTGATGGCAAGTTAAAGGCCTCTAGGTATCTCCAAATTGATGAACAAGTGGCAATATTTTTGTATGTTTTGGCCCACCATGTGAAAAATTGTGTAGCGAAGTTTCAGTTTCGTAGATCAGGAGAGACAATTAGTAAACATTTCAATAATGTACTCAATGCTATTATTCGGTTGGAAAAAGAATTATTTAAGAAACCCGAGCCTATATCAGAAACTTCAACTGATGAAAGATGGAAATGATTCAAGGTATGTGATTTTCTAGACTCAAGTGTATATAGATTATTCTTGGTTAGTATTCTAATTCTCATACATATTTAATTTTGACTATAGGGATGTTTAGGAGCAATAGATGTGACACACATAAGTGTACATGTATCAGAGGCAGACAAACCTAGATATAGAAATCGAAAAGGCGAAATTACAACGAATGTACTTGCTGCTTGCACTCTTGATATGCAATTCATTTATGTATTACCAAGCTGGGAAGGATCTGCTGCAGATGGTAGAATACTACATAGTGCAATGCTTCGAGAAAATGGGTTACAAGTTAGTAAAGGAAACTGTTATCTTGTTGATGCCGGGTACACGAATGGAGAAGGATTCCTCGCACCATTTAGAGGTCAAAGATATCATTTGAATACTTGGTTGAATGGTCATCGTCCAGAAAAGGCAGAAGAATATTTTAACATGAAGCACTCGGCTGCAAGGAATGTCATAGAATGTTGCTTTGGGGTATTAAAAAAAAGATGGGCTATACTTAGAAGTCCATCATTTTATCCCATTCGAACACAAAATAAAATTATTCTTGCTTGTTGCCTTCTACATAACTTTATACAAAAGGAATTACCATATGATCCACTTGACGATGATGACATTATTGACACTAACAACGATGAGGAGGATACAGATCTTGGATCACAAGTCGAGCACATAACAACAATTGGAACATCGAATGAATGGATGACTTTTAGAGAAAACTTGGCTAACTCAATGTTTTATTCTTGGAGATCTAGGCATAACTGATTTCTTATTGTTGTATTAATTACATTGTGATACATTTTTAATGAATTTTAGTAATATTATGTTTTCAGTTATGTTGTGTTTGATAACGACTTGTTATATATTTAGTTAATGTTTCTATAGTTCTTTATGTATTTTTTTTTAATTGTCAAGGTATGGAGTCACAAATTCATGGTGATAGGGGCCCAGTAAAAAATAAAAAGAAGTGGAATGATATAGAAGACGAGAAACTTGTTGAAGCTATGGTTGATATACTCAATTCAGGTTCTCACTTTAAATCTGACAATGGTTTTAAGCCTGGGTTCTTTGGTGCGGTGGAAACACGACTTGCAGTCTCACTTCCCAACTCGGGAATAAAAGCTAAACCACATATTGAATCACGCATAAAAACTTTGAAGAGCGATTAGTCTGATGTCATGGAACAACACAAATGGTTTTGGATGGGATTATGAAAATAAGATGCTTGAAGCTCCTCGATCTGTTTGGCAAGCATATGCTCAAGTAATGTTTTTAATTGAATGATCTAAAACTAATTTTTAAATATTTTTAGCATAATGTATTATTTATTATTTTTGGATTTTTTTAGGTACATAAGAATGCAGCAAAATGGAGAGGCAAAAAGTTTCCTCATTATTGGGACTTGTGTCTTGTATTTGGAAAGGTTCGTGCTAATGGAAGAGATGCTCAAACAGCGGCGGATGTTATATTTGAGATAAATAACGAACAACAGGAGCCCGACGATTACATGCAAGGAACTGGAGATGGGTTAGAGGATATAGATGTTGATGCTCCTATGAATAGTCCTACATATACTCATTTTAAAGAAGATTCGAGTATACAACGAAAGAGAAAAAGAAGAAATAGTTGGGATCCTTTAATGAACAGCTTGAAAGATTCGGCAGATATAATTGGTTCAAAGATTGATAATGCAACAAGTACCTTCAATGCGGTTTTTGGGATCGAGAGAGATAGAGAAGAACTACGTAAAAAACTTAATTCTGAGATGAAAAAAGTTGTTGGTTTAACTGTCCGTGATTGTAACAAGTCAGTTCGTATGCTTTGAAAGAATGATGAGTTGATGGTAATCTTCTTTACCGTTGAGGACGAAGACAAATTTGAATGGGTAAAGAACTTGCTTGAAGATGATGTTTGACGTTATTTATATGGCTTTTTATGATATTGTAGTTTTTTAAGTTATGAAAAGTATGATAATTTTAATTTGTTAGGGTTGGTTAGACTTTGATATGGTTTTATGAGATATATTTTTTAATTATAAATAAAAGTTCTTATTTATATAAACCATTTAGAATAGAAACTATAATTTCCAGATAGATAATGTTGAATTTTATTGAATTCTATGAATTTTTTGTTGTAAGGGTATTTTTGTCATTGTAAATTATTTTTATTCCATTACCTTCTCTTTTTTGTACATACCAAACAACATAAATGAATGAGTCATTTCATTCCATCACGTAACCAAACATGACAATGGAAAGGTAATGAAGCATTCCATTACCCCATCCATTCCATTACTTAGTCAATTCCATTTAGTGAGGAGTGGGATTTTTTTTTTCATTTTGAAATTTTGGGACGAGTGGAAAAAGTGGGCAAATATATAAGAAAAAAATAATATGTTAAAATTTATAGAAATTCAAAAATATCAAGTTAACTAAATACATAAAATTTGTTTACGATAGGATATATATATATATATATATATATATATATATATATATATATATATATATATATATATATATATATATATATATATATATTTTGTATGTGTGTAAACAATAATGAAACTGTGTTTCGCATATTAGAATTTCGTTAGTGAAAAAGCAGGTAAATACACTTAAAATAAATATGATTTTGTGAAATATATATAGATAACAAAATCGAGCCAAAAAAAAAAAACATTTACACTTTGAAAATCCAAAAACAAATTTGGATCGTAGGTAATATATAGCCGGTTAGCAACGGATTATGGATGCAAGCGAAAAAATTTCAATTTCCGTTGGTAATCCATTGTGGATTATTGACTAATTATTGCATGTATATTAGAGGCTCAAATTTGGTCCTTACAATGTTTCTCTCCAAATGCCAAGTTGGTGTAATTCATTAAAGACTGAAATTTAGTCTCTAGTGAGTTTTTTCAAAAATATATATTTGTGAAAGTTGTTAGGGACTGAAATTCAGTCCCTAATTAGTTTTCCCCAACATCAAAATCAACAATAGTTTATTTGAGATGAAATTTAGTCTTTAATGTTTCCCTTTAAACCCAAACTAATGTAAATGTACTTGGGACTAAATTTCAATCTTGAGTAGGTTTAGTCAATCTCTAATTATTCACACATTAAAATCAATCCTAGATTGTGTTAAAAACTGATTCATTAGTCCTAGATACATGGTATCTAGGACAGAGTAATTAGTATTTAATATTTTAGTCACAAATGCTTGTTTTTCTTGTAGTGTTTTGGAAGTTGATCTTAGCAAATAGATAAGATCATTAAGGGTCTTCTCATAGTCTGTTTCATAGGAGTCCCAAAGGAACTCACTATATGATTTAGAAAGTAGTTGAGCCACCAACTTTCTCAAGACATTGACACCCAACTCTCCTGGCTTGTCAATATGTGACTACATCTCCAAGATGTAACCACACATAGACCTTTACTTGCCAATAGGGCTTGAGTGACCTTAGACTTTTCAAGAACTTGTGGGTTAGAGAGAATAATTAAAGGAGGTGAAAGAAGTATGATTTCCATGGGACATCATCTTCATTTAGGAAAGCTTGTTTCAACAGATTTGGGAAGATCATAAATGTCTAAACCAGACATCTTTTTGGGAGATATTCAACATAGTTGATTTAAATTCCTTAATATAACACCCAATATAAAATATTAAGGCTAGAACCCAATACAATACTTTTATAACTTGCAAGAGGGACGCCGTAATCCAATTTATAAAATATTTGAAGGTAAGTGAATGACGATTCACCAATTTCCACCAAGATAAACGAAATGTAATATTAAGTTTTAATTGGATTTGAAACTCCTAGATCTTTTGAGATTCATTGAACTTTTCAATGGCATGTTTCAATCTTGACTATTCCCTTCAGGTTTTGTGATTGGGATGCCAAGGATCACAAAACAAGGTGTGAAGTAACCATGCAAATATACTTGGTACCCTTAATATTTACTCCTTAATCGATGTGCCGGTTAACTGCACACACTCCACCGATACTATGATAAATATTAAGTTACCATTTCCCTACCTTGTTAAGTCCAGGTTAGTGTGCCGGTTAACCACACACGCTACACTAACAACTTAAGCAAAGTGCAAAGTGTAATTTCATAGGTTTGCACCTTATTCACTTTTTCCTAAGTAACTAAGATTGGGTATTCATAAATGGTTTAGTTACTTAGTATTTATCATTAATACTTTTAATGAAGGGAGAATTATAGTCCTTGTCCTACCCGTTCGACTAACGACCCTTCACCAGTCAAGGAAGTGGTGGGTGAGAGTCGACACCCACTAACGGTAAGATTGACTTTACTCTTATACATAAATGTTAATATTATTAACTTATAATATTATAAAGTATAAGGGTTGAATTTTAACTTTTAAAATTCTAAGGGCTAACTTGGAATTAAAGTATTCATAAGTCAAAACTTTTCAAATTCCAAAACTAGAGGGCAAGTTTTGAAACTATTCAAAACTAATTAATTCAATAACTTATGTGTTTAAAGTAGTTTTAATTAAAAGACTCTTCAAGTTCCATAACTTGAGGGCAAGCTATGGAAGACTTTAAACTAATAAAAGAATGTAACTTTTCTTTATTTTGTAACTTATGGAATTAATTAAGGTTACACATTTTATTACTTAACGAAGTGACTCTTGAACCTCCATAACTTGAGGACAAGTAATGGAGTCATAAAACCATTTAATGAGAACAAGACTCTTCATTTTGTAACCTTTTCCATCTTTTATGAGTTTTAAGAAACTTAAATGTGACCTTTCATGTAACTTGAGGACAAGTTACACAAACACATTTTAGAATCGTCTCTTAGATTAAAATGGATTGAAAACACATAATCAATTAACTTATCTATTAATCTAAGCAACTAATATGAACAAAGATAATTCACATCAAACTTTTTCATGTAATTAGCATAACTTTTAAACTAATACAAAACATGAATCTATTGACAAGTATCTTTGAAATAGGATTAGCATGAGCATTACCACATCAAAAACAAGTTTATAAGTTCAAAAACAGCTTAGCGTAATGTTCCTGGTCCATTTCTAGTGAAAAAAAAACTCGAAAATATGCTGTCTGGGGCTCCTACTCGTCGAGTGTATCAACCTACTCGACGAGTAGGATGAGTTTTGCCTTGGACTCAGCGAGTTCATCAGTGGACTCGGCGAGTCCAGTGCCCAGAAAGCTAGAAAATCGATTTCTTTAGCATTTTTCAGCAATTTGCATCAAGTATAATTGAAAACAAGCCTAGGCTCTGACACCACTATTGGTTTTTGAGCATTCTAACACTCCTAAGTGTACATGCAACCCTAAATACCTTGGATCCATGTTTTCTCTATTATACATGCAAATATGAACTTTCCAAGGTATTCATCCTAACTAGCATAATAACATTGATTCAAATGAATATATCAAGTTAGAATTGCATACCTCTTTGATGTAGATAGTCTTCATGAAGCTTGATTGCCTAGTGCCCCAAGTGTGACACCTCAAATGGTTCACACAACACCAAATACACTTGGAATAGATTGAGAGAACATACACACTTCATGGAATCAGCTAGCCCCTTCTATTACCTATAGTTGCTGATTTTCTCCAAGAATAAGATCATTATATAGTTAGGGTTACACAATGTAAACCCTAATTTTCATGGCCTTTCATTTCCATGATCCATGGGTACAAATACACCATGGAGCATCCATGGAGCATCTTATGGGTTTTAGCCCAACTTGATAATCCATGGAGCATTAGCGCATTATATAAGTATGGATGATTTACACAATCAACCCATATATTTAATTAGTCTTCTTTTGATGACTTAATTAATCATAGATTAATTCTTGATCAATACTAATTAAATAATCTTATTAATATATTACAACTTATAATATATTAACCAACCTTAAGTGTTATTTCTCTCATTATAGTCTATCCAAATGCATGATGCCATGCAACCCAAATGGACCATGCCGGGTCGGGTCAAGTCTTACCAATTATAGTTATGGACTTAGATATTAATCCAACATATGAAACACAATTGAATCAAAAAGCACGGATCGCTACATAGTATATTTCAACTGAAGACGATAAAATTCAGTTATTCATGGAATGATTAATATATGAAATCCACAATTTTGTGAGTAGTCGGGATGTTCTATCTTTTTATGAAGTTGTTGAGTATGCCCGAAGACGCGAGCATGATTTGGAGATATGTTGTGCCACTTTTACTGTTCCAAAGCATCCACGTACTGAAAGAACTATTTTTGTTCCCTCTATTCCACCAACTCAATTTTTTTGATCTGAACCTAACAAGCAAGTGCAGTCTCAAAGTGCTTTTTGTGGTCGTGGTAGATCACAATATTTTTCTCTTCAATCACCATTATGTCGAAATTGTGGAAAGAATCATCTAGGCGAATGCAGACTAGAAAAAGGATCAGTGGGTTGTTTTGGATGTGGAGAAATAGGCCACAAAAAGCTCGTTTGTCCAATGAAGGATGGTACATGTTTTGCTTGTGGCATTACTAGCCACAAAAAACGCTTCTGTCCTACTCTTACTAGTCAAGTGACGCGGGGAGTCAAGATTCTATTCAACAACTAGCGAGAAGTGAAGCTCCTATTCAACAATCAAAGAGTACTCCAACTAAAAAGGAAGAAGTACCAAAAGCTAAGGGTCGTGCATTCCAGATTACCACAGAGGAGGTATGCGAGGACCCGAATGTTGTGACGGGTACATTTCTTGTCAACTCTAGACCTGCTCACATCTTATTTGATTTTGGTTCCTCAAATTCTTTTATGTCTCGTGAATTTGCGCATTCTTTTCAAACTACTTGCTATACACTTGCGCAACCATTTCACGTAGATATTGAGGGAAATATATCATTACTTGCTGATAAAATCTATAGGGATTGTGTCGTAGAAATTGAAGGCTATAATTTTCTTGCTAACCTAATCCCTATCTCCTTGCCCAACTTTGATATTATTCTCGGAATGGACTGGTTGTCAAAAAACAATGCAGAGCTCTTATGCTACGAAAATATAGTATGTATTCCTATTAAAGGGGAGAATCCT